ATGCCTAGGACTCATGAGGACGAGGACGCCCAGTGGCGCCCCCGCCGGGGTCCGAGCCCCGGACATTTGATTTAAGAGTCTTATCTGTGGTTAAGAACAGATCAATCGCGCAACACATGGTTGTCTTCCCGAATTTGCAGTGGTATGCGATCGGTGAGCAATTTGGAGCTCGTCGCCGTCGTGGGCTGTCCTCGTGTACACGATTCTGCCAGTGTGCTCGCCATGATTGTACCCGGAACAGCTTTGGACGTGCACGCGACTCTGCTCCTCAGGTAAGTTCTTGAACCTCTTCGTGGCAACCTACACTTCGCTTTCCTACAATCGCGATGAGAATGCAGAAGTTAATGCATTCAATAGAGACCGCGTGCTACCGCGCATGCAGGAAGGGCATACGAACGATGGTGTCGTTACCTTCTTCGATACCCTGGCACGTGTCCGAGAAGCTGCAAGACATAGGGAACTAACATCGGCAGTGAGTGCCGAGATGAAAAAGGACCAAGAACTCCGCGTTTCCTCAACGCGTGTACATAAGAGGAAAGTGGCTTGCCTAATCAGGAGCTGGGTGAGTAAAATCACGAGCGTGCCTGACTCGAGCAAGTTGAGCCCTCGCCTCGGAATCACACCAGTCCTACATTTTCACGGGGTGTACATCAACTGGCTGCAATAACACAGTGATCATCTCCTCCGTCAAACATCGTGCGTCCTTCTCATCCGCTCTATTCAACACACTTGAAGCGTCGGTTCGCCGTACGCCCCGACTCGGAACTTCCAAGCGGACGGTGGGTGTATGCGCCCGCTCACTTCCAAAGCCAAACAAAACGAGAGTGATTAAAGACGCTGAATGGGACAAAACACCGGCCATGGCCCATCAAGGATGGATCCCATCGGTACCTCAGCAGAGAGCGGACGAAAGGGAAACAAATCGATGCATTCCTAATCCGACATGTAGTACAAAAGACGAGAGAAAGCGATAGAGAGAGTGTAGGTGACGTGGGTGCCCCAACATGCATCCGTCCAAGAAACAAACATATGCTAAAAACACAGTGCTAAGAATGACATCGGCGCCCGCGTTGCGCCGACCTTACTCGGCAGCCTAACCATGCACGGACGACGGCGCACATACATAACCCCATACAAAGTCCGCTGCCCCAGACGATTCCAACCCCCAGGCAACTGCAGCTATCGCATGAAGAGAAGCCAGCCGCCGAACAAGAGGCCGGCGAGGACGAAGAACGCGCGGAGGACGATGACGACAACGAGTGCCTTGCGCACGGCCGCGTAGAACGTAGTCAGCGCAGAGCCGGTCCAGTTTATTCTTCGATGCCCAAAGAACATCAGCACTGGCGACGACACAGGTTACAATCAAGACTCACCTGCGATCGTTCGTCCCACTCGCACGCACGCTTGCCTCCCACCCACGAATGACATCACGATACCGCTTTCCAAACACCCTGTACGGCGCCTTCAGCATACACGATCGGTTCGCAGATCAGCCGCACTCACCAGATCCAGAAGTTGACATCCGGATACGAGAACCGCGGGAACACGCTCGTCAGACTTGGCGCCACGACTGGTACGCGCATCATATCCTCCGAGTCCGGTGGGAGAAGCGCGCGGACGCTCACACCCGCACCCGCACCCTTGCCCACCGCCGGCGGGGCCATATGTGCAAGTAAATCAAGCGTCATACCGAGCGAGAGGCCCCATAGCTTCAGGTCACCGCTCGGGCGCCTCCGGCGGCGGAAGAGCGTCGGCTCAGGTGCGGCGCCACGCTCCACATGCGCGGCATCACGAACCTTCTCGTCAGTGGCGTGCGGGGCCGAGAGAGAGGACACGGAAGGCGAGATGACGATGGCGGGGAACTGCATGCTGCCAATCAGGAGCCGCACGAGGAGACGGAGTATGGTCGAATGCCGGGGCGCGAGGCGCGAAGACGCGTCGACAGTCACGGTCGACCAGCGCGGGCGCGGCGGTGCGCGGGGCCGGGACTGCTTCTCGGCATTGAAGGGGACAGGATCCGAGAAGGGCATCAGTTCTGCGATGGGCACCCAGTGCAGCGTCGTGCCGGGTGCGGGGTCAACGGCGGTCGTGTGAGGGGCGAGCTGGAGGAAAACGAAGGGAGAAAGGATCATGAGTAGCCGCTTCCCAAGCGACGTGGTGATTTCGCGGTCATCGAGCTGACCGATGGGTGTGTATGCAGACTCTGCGAGGTCGAGGCCGATTTCCTCCCATGTCTGGCGCATGGCTGTATGAGCCGTTCGTGAGCATGAGCCACGGAGACGATAAGGAGGGTACATACCGGTGTAAAGGCCACCCTCGTCACTTTCTTCGGTCTTTCCGCCGGGAAACGCGACGTGCGCTTCACCGCTGCGCGGGCCGCTACCACTCAGACGACCACCATCGGCGCCGTCGGGCTTGTCTCTTCGAAGGAAGAGGATTTCTGGCCGGGCGCCGGGTGCATTGACCCAGTCCAACTGGAAGAATTCGGTAAGTGTGGGAGGGGGAACGTTCTCCGGAGATGCGGAGACAGAGGCTGGGTTATTTTGATTAGGTTGTGGTTGTGGTTGTGGGGGAATGTAGGACGGCGGCGGGGCGACGCGAACAATGATAGCGACCGCCGCTCGACGGGGTTCTGGGGAGCGTCAGGGACGAATGTCTGCATACATACGAGCGAGATACGCACGGGTAGCGGGAGAGGCTATGATACGCGGGGGCGTCGTGCGGATACGATGGAGGGCACGCGAGAGCAGAGGGACGATGGACGCGGGCTCTGCTGTGGGCGTCAGCTGCGAGAACAGCGAGCACGACACCGGCAACGCACCTTGCGGCAGGGGGCTGGCCATGGCGGACGGCGAGGAGGTGGAGACGATTTCGAGGAGACACAGTCTGAAAAGTCGTCCACGCAGCGCGTATGCGAGCGTCTGCAGAGGGCGCCTGATGTTCCCCGCGCGTTCGGCCGGCTCGTCCGGCCAACCCGTTGGGGCTTGACGTCATACGCCCCAGCGCAGAGCCGGAGCGCGAGACGCGTCGGGCGGGTCGCCGTGTCCTGCGACGTCCTCGGTGGTCTCGGCATCGACCGCCATGCAGCCATTAGCACGGACTCAATACAGTGACCGATGCGATCCATGTGTTGGCTAGAGCTTGTGCGGACTTGCTCGGACCGATCCTTCCTGGCGTACCTGCGACGAGGTATCTGCGTCAGTCCATCTGGGCTCACTCTGTACTCAGCGTACCGCTCACCGCGCAGCTGCAGTCGCCCTCGCAGTCGCCTCGCAGTCGCCCTCGCGCAGCCGCAGTTGGTCCTGCTGGGTACGCGTAAGCCTCACGCCCCCTGTATAAGCCTGCGTCCCGTGAGCGTCACCGAGCCCTTGATCACCCACCAACCCCATCCACACCATGCAAGGCCGCGCCGACGTCGGCCGCACGCCCCTGCCTCTCGACGAGCATTTTGACTCCAGCCTTGAGACAGACTTCCGCATCCGCCCGGAAGAATGGGCGTTCCTCAAGGCGCAGACTGGTATCGACGACAACGACGAACTGAAGAAACATGTGGTGAAGATCCAGGCGGATGCGTATGCGGTGCGCTTCCATCGCGGGAGACATTGTGGCGTCCATTATGCTTACCCTGTGTGGCAATAGATCTACCCGTACCCCTGCATCAGGCTCTTCGCGTTCATAAGGTACGCGTCTCGGAGACTGGTGATGGCTTCCTGTGCTGAGCAGCCCTGCTTCCCCAAGGCGTAAGTTGGCCGCAATATCAGCCTATGAACAGCTTTTACAGCTCGGAAGAGAGCGCGAGGGCGCCATTTTCCTCGACATCGGCTGTGCCTGTATGTCCGGACCTCCGTTTCCCCATGCACCGTCCGCTCACTGACCGATATTCCGTGCAGTTGGAGGTGACGTCAGGAGAGCCGTTGCAGACGGCTACCCCGTGCAGAACGTCGTCGCGTCGGACTTGGAGCCCGGTGCGTCTGCCCCGCCCACACACCCTACATCACCCTCACCCCAGCAGGTTTCTGGCGGCTCGGGCACGAGCTGTTCCGGTCCACGCCAGAGACCTTCCCTGTGCCTTTGGTCCCCGGCGACGCCTTTGACCCCGCGTTTCTCCCGCCCGTCGCGCCCTGCACGTCGCCGCCGGACATCCCGCGTCCGGATCTGCAGACACTGACATCGCTCGCGCCGCTGGTGGGGCACGTGTCTGCGATCCACGCATCGTCGTTATTCCACCTCTTCGACGAGGACAAGCAGGAGCAGCTCGCCCGCGCGCTCGCGGGGCTCCTCTCCCCCGAACCGGGTTCGATGATCCTTGGCATGCACACGGGCCTCCCCGAGAAGGGCTGGAGCAAGGGCACATGGCCCGGCGGGAAGAGCAGCCTGTTCTGCCACTCACCTGAGAGTTGGGCGGAGCTGTGGGACGGGCAGGTGTTTGAGAAGGGCACGGTGAAGGTCGAGACGGTTTTGAGGGCCGTAGACGTTTCAGGGCTGGGCTTGAGCCCGAATGATGCTATGATGTATCGCATTGCCTGGTCAGTGACGAGGTTTTGATTTTTAGAAAGGCTCTGTGGACCGTTGTAGATTATCTTTGATGTTGATGCATTCAACTGCATCCCTGGCTTCCATCTGCACTCGCCGCACGTGTGCTACCTCCTGTGTCCTTGGAGTACTCAGTCTCAGAGTACCAAGTTCACCTGTCGAACCCTCGCCATGCCGAAATCCCTCTAGTCGGTAGACCGTTTATTTCGTTCAAGATATGGCATAGTAACACAGCGCAGGGTGACGATATCTCCATCAGAAAAGCGACCGATATCCCAATTGGTCGCGGCGTCGCATGCGCACTCCGATGACCACTCACTCAATTGAGAATGATCGAGATCGCCGATCACGTCTAACAGCGTCTAGCTCGTCCTATGCTGTCCCGATTCTCCACTCTCTCCCTCGTCGTTTTCTTCATTTTCATTCCTGGCTCCGCTCATGTATCTATCAGAAGTTATTGTAGCATGGGCGCTATAGTGTAGTGGTTATCACTTGGGATTCTGACTTCTGCCCAAAATTCTCTAACTGGTGCATGTAGTTAATCTTCCCAAAACCCAGGTTCGAGCCCTGGTAGCGCCTGAAGGTAGTTCTGGAATTCTTTTTGTCATCTTAAACTTGAAAGGTCTCGCTGGACTATCGTTTGTGATGCTTAAGCTGCCGCAGTGATAAGCGTACGAGTATATAGAGATCATCATGTCTAATCCCGACATTCCCCCGATCAAGAAACTGCACATCGGATATACTCTGGGAGACCACATGCTGCGGGGGGTACAGTGATTCGAAGACATTGCACCAACGCTCGAGGATCTGAGGATCTCGGTCGACCCGCGTGTAGATATCCTCAGTATGTCGACCTTATATCCTTTGTCACTTGCGTTGGCTTTCTTGGCAGAATCATTCCTTCCAGTTCACCTTTGCAGTCGACTGCAAACCCTTTCGCGGTCGGTCAGTCGTGCAGAGCTAGAGCATACATTTTCTGCAGAATTCTGGGCTCTCTCGCAGCTAGTATCGCCTGTTCTGAGGGTATTGCGTCTCACGTTATCTATTCATGGGGACACTGATCGGCCGTCGCGTTCACTTGGCAGGCCTTTGCCAGCACGCTTACCTCAAATACGCCGGGTTAAAAGAGCTTGAGCTCGACTTCTAGATTATGAAACTTAGCCCGGGAGATGACAGAGCTATGATGCGGATGGCACTTCGGCCCGGCTTTGTCAGGGAATGCAAAGAAACCTTCTCTAAATTCGCCTCCAAAGGTATTCTCAGGCTGATGTGATTTCTATGATAGACGAGAACAATAACCATTGTATGATCCTGCATACTCAGAGGCATGCCCTAGGCAATTTACAGAGTGATGCAGCTACCATTGTGGACATCGAGTAGTGATCGAGCGTAAGTTGCGATCGAGTGACAAGGTTAACAGCGGGTTCGCGCCTTCACGACATGCATGCCATAACTTGGGCAGTTCGGATAGTAATAGAGACGTTTGATAATTCTGCGGATATCTCGGAAATGCCAGCTCCATTGACGTTGTCGTAAAGAGCACGAGGTGCTCTACTAATACTAGGAGGCAATGACAGAATTCCGGTGGACACCAAATCGCCTCTGAACAGAACCCCCACCTTCGGCGGCCTTGGTCCTGCAGCGTCGAATGTCCCTACTATACAATCACTCGCCCTTCTTTTCATACATTCTCTCTTTAAGATTGGGACTACATCAGGTGCAGCATGGGCACGCATGTCAATACTCAATATTCCACAAAATGCGCCTTCTTATTCCGTCATGTTTATGCATCAGTGTCGTAGCCTACCATAGCATGCAGTAATGTTGCAGACACAAGACATCCGGACCGTACTCTATAGTGGCAGGCCGCACACCTCGCAGTCACTTCCTCCATGTGTGTTCTCAAAGGTGCAATGCGGACAGATGCGCACGTTCACGGACGCTCCGCTGCGTTCTTCCCGCGCGATCTGGTCGAAGACTTCCTGCGGGATGTCCTCGTCCATCGCTGTGTACGAAGGACCAGATGGGGCAGTAGAAGTTGGTCTCGGAGGGGCTGTAGCGTGACCATAAGTCGAAATCACGTAATGATTGCCTGAATGCACTTACGTGCTGTTTCACGAGTGAAGGTCATCAGAGTCTGCCAGCTATCAGTCTGGATGAGCTCATCTAATACTGTAGGATCATCGAGGTTTGGCGCAGTCGCCATCCGTAAGAGCACCTTCATGTCATCCTGTGGCAATTCACGGTCAGCTCAACGTCGTCATAGCACAACTTATTGTGCGCGCATCATACTCACCGATGTGATCAGCTGAGTCGTGTCTAGGAATGCTATGAGATGCCAGTCGCTGAGCCACCTAGTCAGGGCAGCTCGCTGCTGCGGGTCGCCACCTTGGGAGCTGACCGGGATGTCAGGGGCATGAAGCCGCGAAAGTTCGGCGAGTACAGCCTCTATATGCTGATCCTCTAATCCCGGACGATTCTCGATCGGGAAGGCAGTGGAGCGGAACAAAGGGGCTGGATTTTGTGGGAAACCTTGGGAAACCTGCGATCCGCTGTTAATGGAATATGCAAGTATTATAGAGATAGTTACGCACATTGACAAGAAGATATTCCACGGGGAAACATGGCTTGGCACTCTTCTGCACGTCAAGACCATACTCGTTCTTGTAGCGGTAGAAAACATCTGGCACGTAGCGCGCAGATTCTTGGGTCCTGTCCTCCTCCTTGACACGCATGATACCAGGGTCGACACTCGCCTCGACCATGTCGGCATCGACCATTGCGCATGCCTGCTCTGACACTTGATACGCGGACACATCAATCCCGCCATCCTCCGTGCCTGTCAGCACCGCAGTGATCATCCGCGAGGCAAACAGTCCGGTCGGAGAGGAGCGCGAGGGCGTCGGGTTCGCATTCTGGACGTGGGCGGCAAAAATAGTTTCCAGCGACGACAGGAAAAAAGATTGCGGATGCCGCTTGTAGGTGACCTTTGTGCGGTCCTCCGGCGATGGGTCTAAATCTGTGAAGATGTAGCCAACAATCTGCAGTGGAGGGTTGGCCGCACGCGCAAGCTCGCGCACGCGCGGCTCGTCCTCCCACGGGATTCCCAACTCCAATCCATCTAGCTCGCCATGTTGTGGGGGCTCGTGGATGGCCTCCACAACTGCCTTGACACCCATTGGCACTTCCTTGTACGGTTCGTACCGGCCGAGGAGCCATCCAAAGCGTTGCAGGCCTGTCTTGCGCCAGGCCTGGAGGAATCGGTCGATGACATCCGTCGAGGCAATCTCGAGGTGATCGACCATACGGAATGGTTGACTCTGCAAAGTGATCGCTGACGGTTGACATCCGGAACAGATCGCTGCGGGCCACGGCGGGTGGCTGCCGCTCGGACATGGCACCTTGACCTTGTACGAGAGGGGATCGAGCGGCGGGAGCAAGGTCGAGGAGGTAGTGGGAGTGTTCTTGGGAAGAAGCTTGCGGAGGTAGGCGTGGTAAGAGAGGTGTTTAATATTGTGCTTGGTGTGATATTCGATGTCGTAGGGCTCGAGGGGCATGCAATAGTCGCACATTGCGTTCGCACCATGCTTGCAAAATCTCGAGTCGCGACCGCGCGGGAGCTTGCCATCCTGTGAGCGCCAGTACGTGTCTACAGGATCCTCCTGTACTGTCTCCCATGGACGCTTGGATGCGACGGCGGAATGCGCCGTGTCAGCGTCAGCGGTGGTACTGGGCGTTGCCTCGGTTTGCCGTGGTGTGTACAAGGCGAAGAGTAGGTCCCCATGCCTTGGGACAAGCGGTTAAGTCACCTGAATATTCTACAGGTAATACACTCACTTGAATCCCAGCGACTCTAGATTCCGCCCCTTCAAGCTAGACACGGAAACCTCGTTTCCTCGCGGTCGGTTCGATATTTGTAGCGAGTTGGGATCAGCATCGGGGGCAGTTTCGAGAATCTACATGCTGTCGTGGTTATGGGCGACCGGGACAAGCGAAAGCCAAGGACATACCTTTGCTGCCAACTCGGAAATGTCGGCAGTTGGCTGGAGGTCGAACCTAAAGTTCCCATCCTTGGATCTTACCCTGATGATCTGCATATCTTCAGGACCTGGTTATGTGGCAGTTCTGTCAACGCACCATCGTATATTGCGCAATAATCCGGTATGGAGTACGTGGTAGTGGGCAGAGACCCAAGTCTACGCGTCCGGTGCGAGTGACGTCTGCGACGCGCGTCGCATCACGCGTATTAGCTAAGCACTTTTGCATTAGCTAAGCAATTTTATGACCGCGCGTGCACGTGACTTTACTTGCGCGCATCTGTGCCACGGCTGTCGCAATCCGTCGCGTCTATGGCGAGAGCACATCCAAACCGCCAATCATCTCTATTCTGGCCGGAGCTGTACGACATACACATTCCGCACGTAGACAAATGCCATTTGCAAATCGCGTAGCAGCGCCTAGCCTGTCGCTATCCGCAGACGGCCTTGTAAATGCGTGCGCGAGAGCCCCATGCAGCTGCTCTCTTCGCCTCCTCGGGACACACGCCGCCAGACCTGTAGTGGAGATCGTTCCTTCGCCGTAGATATGGCCCAGAATCCGAATCCAAACCCGCTACCACCAGGGGACCCTTCTGGGAGCCAGTCGAGTACCACACACCGTCGCACGCGGTCAGCAAGCCAGCCTCATCCTGCCGCAGGTCCGGGCACGAGCCGGGCAAGTTGCTGCTGTCTTCCCGCGTCGTTCAATCTGAAATAACAAATAAATCAGACTCTGGAACCTCTGGATTTCAGTTTCCTCAGTAATTTCGACCCTGGGCCCAATACAGCTCCCCCATATACACAGGCGAGTTACGACCAGGACGCCATTAATAGAACCCTACGCACGCTGCAGGACGTACCGCAGTCCCAGTTCGCTTTCCCGCACGTCCCCCAAACGACGCCCGGGCATATGCCGCCCAATCCCCAGATGCCAAATCTGATGCAGAATCCAATGCTGACGGAGGCATTCCTAGCAGCACTCCCACTGCTGCAATATATGCAGATGCAAGCGCAGTACAGCCAGCAACAGCATCCATTCCAACAAGCACCACAGCATCCACAACAGCACGTGCACTCACAGCAAGTGCCTGCACAAGCCTTCCAGTTCATGCCGCCGCCTTCGCAGGCACATACACCGTATCCACCAGGCGGGGGACAGTTTGGATTCATGCCGACGAGAGAAATCGCAGAAGCTACCATGGCGCCGCCTGCCTCGACCGTGAGCACCTCGCCGTCCCCAGAGGCACCAGATCCCACAGAAGGGGAATCTTCCGTAATGGTGGAGGACAAACGGCGGCGCAACACCGCCGCGTCAGGTACGTCTAGGTTTAAGTCCGCTAGCCGCGACACGAGAATCGACGCGTCTTGCAGCGCGCTTCCGGATCAAGAAAAAGCAGTGGACACTGAATCTCGAGCGTACAATCTCCGACCTGTCCGGACGCGTCGAAGAACTCGAGCGCGAGGCTGCAGAGCTTCGACGCGAGAATGGATGGCTGAAAGAGATCGTGATGCTGAAGAGCAAGCGGCTGAGTGGGGTCGTGC